TGCTAGCTGGGTGCAATAGGGTGCTAAAAAATTGGACCTATTGGAAACCGGGGGAGGGGGGGCTCGCGTTACATTAGCGCCCCCCGGTGAAAATGTTCTATAACTCGCTGGAGGGTGTGGTGCTAGCCTTGTAAGTTGGGTGCTAGGTGGGTGCAATAGGGTGCTAAAAAATTGGACCTGTTGGATAACCGGGGGGGGGGCTCGCGTTACATTAGCCCCCCCCGGTGAAAATGTTCTATAACTCGCTGGAGGATGTGGTACTAGCTCTGTTAGTTGGGTGCTAGGTGGGTGCAATAGGGTGCTAAAATATTGAGCTTATTGGGAAACTGGGGGGGCTAGTGTAACGGACCCGTATATTATGTTATGTATATCAAGCCTGATTTAAGTACCACTGTTAATATTTTGAGCAGGTATTAAAACAAGAATAATAAAGAGTTTTGGCAATATTTGAAAAGGGTCCTTAGATATCTTAAGGGTTAATGTGAAGTTGACACAATATTTCAGTTGTGAATATATCAATTTCTTGAGTGATTCTATTAATCCTGAATAAGAAGGTGGAGATGCATGATATAAACAATATAAAAGGCACAACAGGATATTTGTTTGAAATTTGTGTGATATGTTGGAATACAAAAAGGTAGTTGTCAGTAGCGGCATCATCTACTGAAGCCGAATATATGGTTTTCTTTTTAAAGCTGCCACAGAAGCTCTTTGGTTAAAATCATTAGCAGAAAATATGCATAAACATTAATATCAGAGTCAATTATGACCTAGGAGGACAACAATGGACCTCAATAAGTATTACAAATAATCCAACAAATCACAAAAGATCAAATCATATTGAATTGATCGTAATTAATATAAAATATTAATTTGTCCACAGATAAACCACTAGCAGACATGTTTACCAAACCATTGATGCAAGTGAAATTTGAGACATTAGAATGGAATTAGGCTTAGTAAATAAGTTAAATGGTTTGATTAGGTTTTTCTGGGTTTTCCCTAATCCCGAGCAGCAAATGCTGGACCTTATTGTAATTTTCCCCAGAAAAGACACACATAAGGAAAGCGGGCCTATTTATGTTATACTAGGGTTAAGTTGTATTACACTTTTAGTATAATTGATCAAATTTTTGAGATGGCGTGATGGATAAACTGATATTCATATCAGTGAAACAAAAATTAATAAATTAAACTTTGATTATTAGCCTATACTTTACTAATTTATATAGCAGCTATGGATGACTGAATGTGTTTATAATAGTTTTTATATGTAAGGTAAACAGATGAGGAATCGTTTACTTAAGAAAGGGTTTGTAATTCTTTCTTTTGATGTTGAGTCAGTATAGTTATTTCTATGAGTTCACACGCTCTGATTTCCACGCTGTGTTCGATATAATAAATATATTGAATATCGATAATTACCAAGTTCTTTTATTTCTTAGTCCATTTCCCAATAATCAGTTCCGAATATTTAAATTTTATCAGTGGTATAAATAATTATTAGCACGCCACTGTATAGCATATCATTGAGGTAGGTATTCGAAATTTTTAATCATAAAAATACGCTAATCGAAACATATAACAATTGCTAATAAAATTGATTTAATGAAAAATAATAATTTCTCTTTGCACGCCACTGTACAGCATATCATTGAGATATTCGATATTTTTAATCATAGTAAATATGCTGGCTGAAAGGTATAACAATTGCTAAAAAATTCACCGGTAAGAACGATTCAGGATGGTTTAGAACGGAAAAATCGAAAAAATTAATATGGTTATGTTAAATAAACGATATTTTAAAACCAAAGGCAAATATCAAAATTTTGAGAAATTGGTTTCTTAATAATATGTATATGATTAAAGTGAACTAAACAAATGAAACTTCAGATGATTATTTTAAAATTATGCACCTTTGAATGTAAAAATCGGTGAGCCATTAATACATTATTCCGAAAATGGGCGAATATCAGTACGCTACTGGACACCACATTATTTAAGTTTTTTTTTTTTATTATTGTAAATAAACCAGGATATCGTGGGGTATATCAAACAGCAGCATAAGATGCAAGATTTATTGTACAGGATGATTTAGGTGCTTAAAAGTTGAAAAAAGTGGAGGTTATGAAAAAAAGTCGATATTTTTAAAACTAAGGCAGGTATAAAAAATTTGAGAAATTACTTTTTTTGCAGAAGATCATTAATTAAAATGCCGCATAGAAATAAAATTTAAAAAATTATCTGAGAAAGTTACACACATTCAAATTTGGGATGAAAATCATGGACTCTTTTAACACCCTGTATAAAAAAAATTAGCGATTTAAAAAAAATTCAAAATAGCAATTTTTTTCACAAAAAGTCAATCTGTCAGCCCGTGAAAACCGCAAGTCGATATCTAGTCTGGTTCCAAAAATATCAAGCTTGAAAGTTAGGCGATATTTACCTTGTTCGAAAGCAATTGTCCAGCAGTTTAGTTTGCCAGGGACGGACTAGCTTTAACGCAATAATGACACTGAGGAAATATTAGTAGAAAGGATTTATTTTCACTGTCGCGAAATAAGGGCTAATATTGAAGTATTGTCGAGAGTCGAACAATCTTTCAATAAAATAGGTATGGAATACATAAGATAAGAAGGATTTCATGTTGAGTCGACATAAAAAATTATTTAATAAAAAACCATTAATACACAAAAACAGATTTTTCTCGAAAGCAGCTCATTTTTTCGACATCGAATAAGAATACCTTTTTTCTAGTTCAAGGTTGAAACTGTATAATAGTATATTAAAGTATAAGTGGATATTAAGGTCTTTAAAACACGCGCGATTTTTCGAGCACGACGGCGCAGCCGAGTGCTCGAAATAGAGCAAGTGTTTTAATGACCAGTTATCCACGAATACTTTACACTATTTTTTTTTATTGGTATACGTTCAAATCATAAATTACTAATAATTGTAGAATGCTAAATTTGTGCTTGACACTTGTTACATTTTATTTGACGTTATCTATAAGTACCTAACCTACTCCTGACAAATCAATTGACATTTAGACCTTTCTCGGGTTGTTGGTTGTTGATGTTGTCATTGGTAACTTTAAAACACGCGCGTTTTTGAATGTTGGATTTAAACACGCTGAGGAGTACTTTAAATAAGTGAAATAGGTTATCAATAAAAAAAATATATTATTGCTATGCCTATATCATACAGGGTGTAAAAAAAATTAGCATTATTTTGTTAAAGCTAGTCTGTCCCTTGCAAACTAGATTGGCCAAGTATGTTTGAAAGGGTCCATTTCAAGCGGTCTTATCTAGTATCCATCATATTAAAAGAAAAAAAAATTACACGAAGTATTTTAAAAGTTATCAATAAATAACCGATTTTCAGAGGCGTCCTTTAGAAGCACGTAACTTCGTAGGGGGGGGGGGGGGGGGGGGCGTAGGATTTTTTTTTCATGGGAAGTTCTCATGTTATTTTTTTGTGTTCTGAATGTGAGAGATTGCCCACATATTCTGGGACACCCTGTATATATATTTATTTTTTTTGAAACATTTATTGATTTATTCAATTTAGATTAACAATTACTATTTACGCTATTTAATCTAAATTTGTAGGGTATGGATATCGCCGAGGCTGAAGCTTTTACCGAAGGACGCCGGGTATACAGATGGCGAATGCCGGACTTTTTTCAAATCTGATTTTATTCGTTTTTTGAGAGCGTATTCCGAAATGGCACCAGAGTTGGTGGACCAGATAATTCCTTGCTTGAAACGAATAGACTTTAGCGTTATCAATTGCTTTTTTATCGGTTCTGTGCCAGGAGTTCACTCCTGTGACAACGATGAAGAAGTTTATTGGAGTCATGAAAGAGTGGGGCGAATTTTGGAAGATCATGCTTGTTTGCAAAATTACGACGTGGGACGATGTTGCATCGTAATGCAGTCATCTTCAATTGGAAGCGTTGGAGACGATGCTGATAATAATTGGTTGACCGGCGAGTTTTCTCGAGCATTATCATCAGTTTTTGCTGCAGAGAACACCAACGATACCATTGATACAATCAAGACACCGATATTCCTCATTTACCCAAGCGTTCGAGACTTGAGCAATGCCATTTCTTCGAATAATTGTCTCTGTTACAGCTCGGAAACACATGCAAAGCAACAGTGGATTTCAAAGTATTTGTGGTCAGTATGTCTTTATATTAATCGTTTTCTATGACAATAAAAATATAGTTATTGTCGTCCCACCTCTTACTCTACATCTGAGCGTTAAATTTTTATATTTTCAACAATACATTTTTTTTAGTCGTTGGAGAAATAATGCCCCCGGTGGTTCCGAAATCGCTCCTCACATCAAATGTTTTTTAAGAACAGACCCCACCTTCACAATTGCGTCTTGGTTTCTTTTGACAAGTGGGAACATTAGCCAAGCAGCGTGGGGTAAATTAAACAGCAGAGGCGGGCTTTACGTGACAAATTTCGAAGCAGGTGTTTTGCTTCTCCCCTCATTTGTGGTACGTCGTCGTCGTCGTCGTTTCATTTCGTCGTTATTTATGATTCTTAATTGTCGACAATTTAGAAAGGTCAATCATTGTTTTCAGACTGGTAATACGGCATTTCCGTTGGCAACATTGAATGGTTCGATAGAGAGTTTCAACAAAGACGTGGCATCCCTCATCGTGCCCTTTGATTTGCCACCAGTGAGATACTCACGCGAAACGGACGAGCCCTGCTTCAAAGAATCTACAGATTTAAATTTTAGACAAAGAAATCGTTCGCCTTGCAAGGACAAACATCTTGTAATTACCTATTATTATTTATCGTTTCTTTGTTTCAATAATTGTTTATACGCTACAATATATTCGTTGCTCATGAATTTCATTCATAATATTTACAGCGGTTCGCCATTTCCAAAGGAGACGAACTCAGAGCGGAAGAAATTTTTCCACACTTGAGTTCGGTAGCCGACAAGGTGGTGCAGAAACAAAGCGCTAGTGAGACTCAAAACGGACCAACTTATTGTGACGTTCAGTCCCTTTCAGACATACAAGTTTCGCATGACGTCGATTCATATACTGTTTTATTAAAAAACGCAGCGGCTCTGAAGATTCTGCACTACTTGATGATTGATGTCCGATCGTATGGAGCAAGACCCACTCAGCAAGTGAAAATGGTCCAAGGGATTTTCGGAGAAACTGGTTGCAAATGGTTCGAGTTCAAAATCGGATACGTTTACGGGTCACATATTCATTGTATTTTTCGATACACACCTTATAGTCCCCAGTACATCGACCCTAAAATTTTGTAACTCATGTACACGCCAAACTTCCTGAGCGGCTTCATAACACCAAGTCGGACAATATTTTTCATATCTCCACCCCGGGCGATGGGACATTTTCGCGCTAGCTCTTCGTGAAGTTGTCGTTCTGACGTCCCTAAGGAAGTTGATACATGTACGTGTAGTTTTAATGCCAATCGACTGTTTTTGACATTATATTAACGATATCACATTTGTCGGACAAAAACCATGTGGCTTTGGGGAAGGTCGGACGCTCTCAACATGTGGCTGTGGCGTTCCCGAGGAAGTTGATACATGTACGTGTGGTTTTGATGCCAATCGACTGTTTTTTATGTTACATTATTGATATCACAAATGTCGGACAAAAATCACGTGGCTTTGGGTGGATCCGACGCCCCCAACATGTCGCTGTGGCGCCCCTAAGGAAGTTGATGCATGTATGTCCGACAAAAATAATTATGAGTAACAATGTAATTTTAAAACATGTGTAGTAAATGTCGGACAAAAAGAATGAGTATTCAAGTCAGTCGGACAACAAAAGTCCTTTTGATCAATTTCTGCCGAAATTCAGGATCTCTACTCCTGAGATCGCACAAAAAACACGACAGAATATCCATTCTTTTTCAAACGCGTGGTTTTCAACGACCGTTCACTACTCGGAGAATTATCAAAAAAAAACAGATCAGCGAATATGACACAGGTCCCCACAGGTATTTGACAAAGTAGGTAAATAAATAAACTAATTTTAATTTTTTCATTGATTGTCTCAAATTTCTTGTCCGACAAATGGGATATCGGTAATGTAATGTAAAAAGCCGTCGATTGGTATTAAAAACAGACGTACATGTATCAACTTCCTCAGGGACGCCACAGCGACATGTTGAGAGCGTCGGACCCCTCCGAAGCCACGTGATTTTTGTCCGACATATATGATATCGTTAATGAAATACAAAAAATAATCGATTGGCATTAAAACTACACGTACATGTACCAACTTCCTTAGGGACGCCACAGCGACATGTTGGGGGTGTCGGACCTTCCCCAAAGCCACATGGTTTTTGTCCGACAAATGTGATATCGTTAATATAATGTCAAAAACAGTCGATTGGCATTAAAACTACACGTACATGTATCAACTTCCTTAGGGACGTCAGAACGACAACTTCACGAAGAGCTAGCGCGGCAATGTCACATCGCCCAAGGTGGAGATATGAAAAACATTGTCCGACTTGGTGTTAGGAAGCCGCTCAGGAAGTTTGGCGTGTACATGGGTTACAAAATTTTTAGGTCGATGTACTGGGGACTATTATATCGTTCTTAGACAAGTTCGAGCAATTTTCGTGAAAATTGTTCAAAAAGCAATAGGAGAAGTTCTTCTAGCAAGCGACAAAACGGTAGTGAACGGCTCTACCGACGCGGACTTTGGAAACGATGGCAGGATCCGTATTCACCAGGACGATTGGCCAGCAGTGGTCGAAGTGATTGACCGGATCGTGAATTCGAGGGAGGGCTACAAAATGCACAGAATGCGCGAAGTTCTATATCACGTGGCGTAACGGAAAATTGAGCGTATTCTGGCTGATACTGTAGCTGTTGGAAAGGAAGAGTCCATCGTCCGCGTGCAGGTTCATTGCGCGAGTGTAGTTTCTTCTACAGACGGAGGCGCAATTTTTACAAGGTTGTCGGGCATGAAAAAATTTTTGAATAAACCAAACCTGGCTACGACTAGTCCGGCATTTCTTAAATTAGTGGGCCATGCTTACGGCAACACAGCGACTTGCAGGGGAATACTTCCGAATTCGACATATATGCAAACGTACGAGCCATCAGCTCATAGGTAAGAGAATTATTAACTGAACTACTGAAATGAGTCTGTAAAAAAACCATATTTGGAATCGTATACTAAAAAAAAGTGACATTTCTAAAAATTCGTGCTTGCTTTTCCAGGTTCAAAGCCAGTGGTAACGTTTGTGTGGCTACTTTTCTGCAGGGTCGAGGAATGAATAAATTTACGAGTCAAATGAAAAGATTTAACAAAATAAGGCAAGCGACACCTCGCAAATTAAATGCAATGGTCAGACGATACGTTCATACCACGAAGTTGGAAACCGTTGTCGTATCGAAACTGTGGAAACTTTCGATAATTTGCAACAGTTGATTGAAGCATACCACGATGAGGACGCTTTTAAGGTTCGGAGGAAGGCCATCCTCGAAAGAATGATTGATTCCGGCATTTTAACGAGAATCTCGGGCTTGGACTGGCAAAGGCATTTAGTTGATTGTGGTATTCTCAACGATTGTGAAATTCTCGATTCGGCGCTGCGGTTGTTCAAAAATTATGACGAAACAATCCAGCTGCCAAGAATGTTGTGGCCGGAAGTACCATCCACGTCCTTCCAAAAATTATCAATCGAATCTATGCGTCAAGAAGACGAGCTTGTTCGAAGCGATCTGAGAAGTGCGATTGAAAAGTCTCCATCGAACATTCCTTGGAGGCATTGGCTGCGAAAATCATGCGACGAAAAACCGACTTTCGAAGAGAACGAAAACCATGATGAGGAAGAAGATTGTCCTAATGTAGCAAACGACGAAGACAATAGCGAAAATGGCATAAGCGAGAGTAGCGAAAGTGACGATGACGAAAAAGCGGCTGAGCTGGAAGCAGACCAGACGTTTTTCAGTCACCAAAAAACACGCCTGAAAAAGATGTTGCCCGAGTTTCTCTTGCCAACAAGATTACCGATGAACGTTGGAATCGGTCCATCGCTTATGTGTCAAAAAGATATTGTGAAAGCGTACGTCGCTGCCAACCGCATGGCATTCTTTCTGGAGGGGACTTACCTGAAAGGAAAAAAATTTGATACTGACTTGGTTCGATTAATGAGAGAACCTGCTAGAAGGAACAAGAGGAAGGTAGAACATGTTCAGGCAATAAAAGATACGGAATTATTTCTACGGGAATACGAGGACCAAAACAAGCAACTCCCAAAACTGTCACCAATGGTGATGCACCTTTTCGAGCGCCAAATCGGGATTGTTGGTAATGCCATACGAGTAGCAGAAAAAAGGGTGGAAAAATTCCTCACTTCTGATTCAACCACTCCAAATGAGGACTCCCTGGTGATCATTTATTGGGCAACGGCTCTTGCCCATATAGGACGCGATTAATGTTCGCAATTCGGCAATCGTCCATTACCCGACAATTTCATCTCCTTACAGCGGTTGGATATCGGAAAACCCCGTCTTCGCAAATCGGGTTTTATAACTCCAAGCGACGTTGCCGACATTATTTTGACGCCTCCGTCAGCAATGGGATCGTGGGTATTGTCAGCGACTAAAATAAGTTCGGCGAAGCTCGAGAACCCAGCTTTTCGTCAACAACTGATAGATTATATCAAAGAAAATATAAAAAAATTTCCTAGACGCCTGTGCAAATGCAATTCTTCTGAGAATGTACGGTTTAGGGTGGTTTGGGGGCAATCTGAGGCCGAAATGGAATCCATGCTAAAAAATTGGACAACCAGCAGTTCAACCAGTCTTCTGGCAGCTATAAGATTGTCCATGGCCAACAAGACAACAAAGTCTAAAATTGCAGACTTCAAAGGTTATCATTTATTTTCTGCGTATCTATTATTGTCCCTATTTTATTACACCGCCTATTGTATAATTTCCGTTTTCTTTTCAGATTTTATATCCGGGCAGCAATCATCATCGACGAGAATCGATGACGAATCTCGGCATATCATAAAAGTACCGAGAAAAGTACCACCTAAGCGACTGCAGCGACTACAAAATTTGCGACAGTTTCGGAAATACATTGAGGTCACAAATGACGAACTTCGTGAACCGATAAAATCACCTAATTATTTAGTACAGCATGAAAAGGAATTATTAGGAAATGCAACCGGCCCTTCAATTTCTGCAGAAATTGATCACTCCTCAATTGTAGTAGAAGATGTGGTAACCTCTATTGCAGAGGCCGATAACGTCGTAATGCGTAAAGACTGTTTTTTTTTATGACTTTTCATTATTTATTCACTCACTTCATATTATGTTCTAGGCGACTTACAAACACCTGTAAGATTGACATACGCGGACGATGAGCGACTGATGCGATTTCTATATAAATTCTTCAGCAAAGAAGAATTTGAAGATATGAAATCCTGGCAACAGTTGTTTCAGAAGTACGGAAAACTGGGATCAATCGAGGACCTCCTTGCTGGAAGAAATATTGATTCTGTATTCAAAAAGATCCAACGGATTATTTTGCTGCCGCAAAATATCTTAGAAAGGAGAGGCTGCGACGCGGATTGTGTTAGAGAATTTTTTTAAAAATTCGGTAAATAGCACTAACGCATCAAACACTAACACTGTTCTATGTTCCATGCCTGTTAAAAGAACAACCCCACAACCATTGCCTCGTTTATTTAGAAATTAAGATTTCCACGTCCTCTGCCGTTGATAAGAAAAGTCCGACAATCCTGGTATAATTTTTCCATTATTTAATGAATTTAATTAATGACTTGTTTTATTACAGAAATTGCTATCGTTTATTTAGAAATTAATATTTTCACGTTTTATGCTGTTGTTTATTTAGAAATTGAGATTTCCACGTCCTCTGCCTTTTGAAAAAAAATCCCACAATCCTGGTATAATTTTTCCATTATTTAATGAATTTAACTATTGAATTGTTTTATTTCAGAAATTGCTGTCGTTTATTTAGAAATTGAGATTTCTACATTTTATGCTGTTGTTTATTTAGAGAATAGGATTTTCACGTCCTCTGCCTTTTGAAAAAAAAGTCCTCCAGTACTGGTATAATTTTTCCATTATCTAATGAATTTAACTAATGAATTGTTTTATTTCAGAAGTTGCTGTCGTTTATTTGGAAATTAATATTTCTACGTTTTTTGCCGTTTTTTACTTGACATTAAGATTTCCACGTCCTCTGCCCCTTGAAACAAAAGTCTCACAATCCTGGTATAATTTTTCCATTATTTAATGAATTTAACTAATGAATTGTTTTATTTCAGAAATTGCTGTCGTTTATCTGGAAATTAATATTTCTACGTTTTTTGCCGTTTATTATTGGTGTCGTACACTGTCGCTAGACTCTGTTTTGGGGTAAGTCAAAAATACCACGAAGATCTCTTACCAGAAACTCAAAATACATGAACACTGATCGCAAAGATTAGAGGACAAACAGGTCAAAATAATAACATTATTATACACGGCAGCAGCACAGTACCTACTGCCGATACCGCAGCGTTGCCAAGACGAACATTAGTACCAACAACAATTTTGTCAAAAACCTAATTTTAAAACTAAAAATGGAAAATGATGAAGTTTTTATGAAAAGTTTGCGAGATTTAATCTTGACCGTACAAACTAAGGTACTCAGCGAAAAACAAGACGTGAAGGCTTATCAGAGAGACCTGTCAGAAGTGAAAGAGAATGATGATGCCATTAAACAAGAAAACGAAGAACTAAGAGAAAAACTCCAGAACTTACAACGCCAGTCTAAGCGGAAAAAATTAATTTTTTACGGAATTGGATAGGAACCGCAAGCGCCAGAAGAAGCCATTCTGAAAATAAGTAACGTTAATCTGGGAGTATCACTAACAATAACAGAGGTCAGCAGCTGTTTAAGAATTGGAAAGAAAACTCAAAAAAATCGACCAATCCTGGTTGAATTTGTCTCTGCTTTTAAACGCAAGGAAATTCTAGGAGCGCGCACAAAATTTAAAGGATCAAACATTTTCATCCAGGAAAATTTAACTAAAGAGGATCTTTACAAGCGTAGAGTTTTGTTAGAGTTCTTGAAGGACGTATGACTAAAAACCTGTCAAAAAAAAACTAAAGAACTGCAATTGCATTGAAGTTGAGGGAGTTTTATACAATTTCGAGGATATCTCTGAACGCAAACGCTTGCCGCCACAAATTTTAGAGCAGTCACCCCGAGCCACCCCGAAAGCATCCAGCGCCCTCTCAACCCCATCTCCAGCGGTAGACTTGCAGGATCTAGAAGTATCGCCATTACAGGGGCAAGAATCTGAGAAAGATTTGAGAAACAAAATAGTCAAGAAACCAGAAAGGAAGGATATTCGTACCCGGAAGGAAAAACTACAAATAAATACTCAACAAATTATAAAAAAGAAACAACCAAGGAGCGTCAACAGTCCCATAACTCAAGGATCGGCAAACAGCAACACAGAGAACAAATTTTCCTATGCCACCAGACAAAGTCAGAAAACTGAATAGTGTTGAGGTGAAGAACATTTTCGTAGTTTAGTTAAAAAAAATTAAATACCTACCTTTCATCACTTTCAGCTGATAAGGATAATAAAATAGCTTCAAACCTTTTATCATTCTAAATAAACTCATTTTTTGTGTGTTATTTTCACATTTTTATAAATGGATACCTATTTTTATTGGGTCTGGCGGTGTGATATATAGGTAGGTACCTGTGCGGTTTTTTGTTTGGACTTGCATTGCCTTTTTTCTTTATTATTTTCTTCATTATTTGGTAATTATTGCATTTGATAATTTTAATTTATTGCAAAAAATTTACTTGTGGGGACGCGTTCGTAGCGATGAAAAAGTTCTCTGTAGCATTTTTTAACGTTAGTTCACTAACTGCACACTTCGCGGACATTAAACATCTTTTAGAGGGAGAGAAATACGACATTTTTTGTATGTCGGAAACGTTGCTGACAAACAAAATAATTGATAACTGTCTACAGATCGCAGGATACAAAGTGGTGAGAAAAGATAGAGTGCCAACAGAAAATAATAAATTTGTAGGACGAGGGGTGGGAATTTATGTGAAAAACTGGATTAAATTCGATCTTTTAGATTCAATATCAAACAGTAGCATTGAGCAAATTTGGATAAAATTTAGAATTAACAAATGCACATATTGCGTTGGATCGTTATATAGGTTACAGATGGGAGATTTTGCTGTTTTTTGGAAGGCTTTGAGGATTCATTGTCTCAGTTTACAATGAGTACCGATGCAATTGTTTGTGGTGGAGATTTCAATGTTAATTATTTGGATATCGACAAAGCCAATTCTCAAAGGTTGATTTCATATATAGACACATACAATTTAAAGCAAATAATACAGTCACCAACAAGAATTACAAAAACTTCACAATCTTTGATAGACTGGATATTAATTCCGAAAAACACCGCTAATTATACATGTGAAGTAATTAAAATTGAAAATGTCTCTGATCATTCTCTAATTCACTGTACGTTAGATATAAATGTTAAAGATACTCCTCACTATATTACCTTTAGAAACTTTAAAAGAATTGATATTACTGAGTTCTCAAACCTCCTTCAACAAGAAACTTTTGAACCTATTTTGGATGCTAAAACAGTGGATGAGAAGGTCGCTATATTGAATCAAACAATTTTGAATATTTTTTATCAGCTCGCACCTATTAAAACAGTTTTAATAAAAAAACAGAAACCTCCTTGGCTGACAGGTGACATAGAAAAAATGATAAAATTCAAGGATGCAGCATATAAACGGGTTAAAAGGACGGGCAATCCATCGCACTGGGAGTACTATAAACAATTGCGAAACACTACAAACATTGCGATTTCTAATGGTAACAAGTGTTATTTGGAATTCTGTACGGGCTCCGACAGGAATGCTCTGTGGCAACGCCTTAAAAGACTTGACATTGTCGGGAACACAAAAAACTCAACATCACTACCAGAAGCATTAAATCAGCCAAACGAAATAAATGAGTTTTTCCTTAAATACTCTGGTGTAAGTTCTAGGGTGGATCCAGAGCTTATAAACTTTTATCAGCAGAGCAAAAAATGCAATTTTAGGGAAATGTTTGCTTTTCAAACAGTTACTACAGAGGAAGTCGAGAAGCAATTGTATAACATAAAATCCTTAGCATTTGGGTCCGACTTGGTAAACTATCAAATGATTATTTTGTGCTGTCCAAAGATCTTACCATACATAACTAATATAATAAATTCCTGCATTTTGGATAGCATATTTCATCTTCGTGGAAAGTAGCAAAAGTAAAGCCATTGCCAAAGAGAGCCTCACCAGAAGAATGCAATGATTTACGACCAGTAAGTATTTTACCTTCCCTATCAAAAATATTAGAAAAAATAATGGATTTGCAAATACGAGAGCACCTAGACTAATACAAAATTATTCCCGAACATCAATCAGGTTTTAGGCCTGGTTATAGCTGCGTAACGGCGCTTACAAATATAGCAGATGACATTTTTGCTGAGAACGATGACGGAAAAACGACAGCCTTGATTTTACTCGATTATTCCAAGGCCTTCGACACAGTTCACCATAACCTACTTTTAGCTATACTTCACTTTATAGGGTTCACTACACATGCAATTGCATTCGTAAAAAATTATTTAGAAAACAGATATCAGTTTGTTGTAACATCTTCCGGCTATTCACATAAAAGTGAAATTAAAAGTGGTGTACCACAAGGTGCAATCGTTTCGCCTATACTATTCTCCATATACACTTGCAACCTCTCTAGCTGCCTGAAAAACTGCAAATCTGATCAGTATGCAGATGACTACCAAATTCGCTATTCTTTCCACCCTCAGGACTGGATTCAAGCGAAGTGTATTATAGTAAAGGATCTCGAAGGGTTAATCGGATATTCTGAAAAACATAATTTGAAAATAAATCCTAAAAAATCAATAACTCTCTTCTTTGGAAAAAAAAGTCAGAAATTAAAAAAAGTATTAACTTAACGATAAACGGTAGCCAAATTCGTACATCGGAATGTGCTAAAAATCTGGGCCTATTGTTGGATACAGAATTGAGGTTTCGACAACACGTCAGTCTAAACATAAAAAGAGCATATTTATCTTTAAAGCTTCTATACCCTCACAGACACTCATTAACCATTAAACAAAAAACCTACCTACCAAAAAGCCTAGTACCTTGGTACTATTTTAATTATCGAGATGTAATATATGGACCGTGCCTAGACCAAAACGAACAGCTACGAATACAGAAGGTACAGAAATCCTGCCTCAGGTTTATCTACGGAATCAGAAAGTTTCAACCGGTCTCACACAAACTTAAAGATACAAGATGGCTAGACATGAAAAAACGGAGAGAACTCACTGACCTCTATAAATGGACAAGCATTAGCGTTTTCGAAAAATGGTAAACTGTAGGACCAAAAACCTGCGCCAAACCGGGTAGCCGTTGAACGTGCGCATTACAATTTCACTGTTTGGAATCGTTTCAAAATCAAGGTTGAGTAAACAGGACCGCATTTAAATATTTTCAAGTAGTGTTTGAAAATGTTCATACAAGCTTAATTATAAGCTTTATATTTGTTGTTTTACTTACTTGAAATAGCTAATTCCCGGTATTTTACATTTATTTTGGCAAAATAAAACCATACAAAGGGGACGCGCTCTTTTCGACTCAATAGTCATAGCCAGGAGGAACTTACAATTTCTACGAGGTCGAAACACTGCTGAAATTAAGTTCAAAAATCCAGCAGTTTTAAAAGTACGCCACACGAAAATTCAAGAAAAACCACTAAAAACACCAACTATCAAACACGAACACGAAATAATAAATCCAGTTCCTCCCGTTCTTAGGATTAATAAATATACTCATAAA